CTTCGAGAAACTCCAGCTCGCATGCTCCCAGCGTCGTGTGACTTCCACCGTCATAACACTATTTTATTCTAAGTGAAACTACTAGGTACGAGTGATATATTCTGAATTGGCTACTTTCCAGCCATATAGACTGCATATGTTGGTTTTGATATAATACAAACCAACAACAGGTAATGTAGACTACATATGTTTATGCTTTGATATAATACAAACGAACAACAGTTAATGTAGACTACATATGTTTATGTTTTGATATAATACAAACAAACAACAGTTAATGTAGACTACATATGTTTATGTTTTGATATAATACAAACGAACAACAGTTAATGTAGACTACATATGTTTATGTTTTGATATAATACAAACCAACAACAGGTAATGTAGACTACATATGTTTATGTTTTGATATAATACAAACAAACAACAGTTAATGTAGACTACATATGTTTATGTTTTGATATAATACCAACAAACAACAGTTAATGTAGACTACATATGTTTATGCTTTGATATAATACCAACAAACAACAGTTAATGTAGACTACATATGTTTATGTTTTGATATAATACAAACGAACAACAGTTAATGTAGACTACATATGTTTATGTTTTGATATAATACAAACGAACAACAGTTAATGTAGACTACATATGTTTATCTTTTGATATAATACCAACAAACAACAGTTAATGTAGACTACGTATGTTTATGCTTTGATATAATACAAACAAACAACAGGTACTGTAGACTACATGTTTATGTTTTGATATAATGAAACTAACAACAGGTACTGTAGATTATATATATGTTTGTTTTGATATAATAGGAACCAACAACAGGTACTGTAGACCAGTGTTTCCCAAAGTGTGGTCTGCGACCCAGTACCAGTCCATGAAAGAAAAATGTCAGTCCATAGAAAAGTAAAAAAAATTAAATTAATTCTAACTCTTTCACTACCAATTTTCTCCAAGACCTTGTTGTATATTAAAGAAAAATGTAATTAAACCAGTTAGTATAAATATATTCTAATAAAATTAATATTTTCAAATACATAATTAAATTTTCATTTCATCTAACTTGGATTTCTCAGTATTTCAATTAAGCTAATATAACAGGAAGGAAAAGTGAAAGTTTTTACTTAAGGCTACGAAACTATAGAATTGACAAATTGATAGCCGCCTTGAAACCTTCAGTCCCTCAGGAATTAAGGTGTTCTCACTTATTGCAATTTATAGAGCCTAAGATTAAGTTTTACAATGTTCATAACGTTGAGATTCTTGTGAAATGCTGTAAATTTAAACCACATGCTAGCTAGACACGTCCCCCTGCTGAGTCCAACCCAATCTTCCCCTGTCTCCAGGTTAGATCAAAGAAGGGATTTTTTTTCTCGCATAAAAGGACCATTTGTTCATTCTAGTTAACCGGTTCTTCGACACCAAATTTTTTAGGTATTTTATGCCAAATTTGCTTACTCTGTTAATGGAAATTGACAGGCATGCGAGACCTGAGTCTTACGTCTAGTAGCACCAGGTGGCAGCAGACAAGTTGCTGGTGGCCGGTGTTAGAAGCGTCAGTTTGTTCTGAGAAGAGAGAGAATTGTTTGTGACTTAGTTTGTACTAACTAAAAATTTTTGAAGTTGTTAATTTTTAAGAAAACCCCTCTCCAATATGGATAGATGGCTGAAGAAACATGCATCACACAATAAAACCTCAAGTGATGCACAAATGCAACCTAGTTCCAGTGATACTGAAGTTAGAGAATATAATAGGCCTAATTATAAAAGTTTAATTGGTGAAACGTTAATACTTCCTGCAGTGAAAATAATTACATCTCATGTTTAAAAGAAACAAGAAAATCAGTTGGATTTACTGTCTGTATCTAATAATACAGTGAAGTGTAGAATTGTGGATATGGCAAAAAATATTGAAGAAACTCTTATACGTCAAGTTCACTGTAGTCAGTTTTTCTCATTTCAAGTGGATGGAAGCACAGACATAGCAGATAATACCAATTTAATGTGCTTTGTAAGATATGATTATAAGGACACAATTCTTGAAGGTTTATTGTTTTGTAAACCACTTCCAACAAGAACAAGGGCTGACGAAATGTTTAATTTAATCATAATTTTATAATTCAGAGTGGTATTAAGTGGATAAAATGTGTTGGATTGAGTACCGTTGGTGCTCGCTCAATGGCAGGTTCCCATACAGGAGTTTTCCAGAGGATCCGAGCAGTGGCACCAGACTGTGAATGGGTGTATTGTAGCATTCACAGAGAGGTGTTAGCTGTGAAGAAAATGCTCTTACTTTTGAATTCAACTATGCAAGAATGTGCTAAATTCACAAACTATATAAAATCTTGTTTGTTGAATTCCAGAATCTTTACTGCTTTGTGCAAAGAATTAGGAAGTGTAAAGTGTATTACACTGTAAAGTTCGGTGTTTATCAAAAGGAAATGTGTTAAAAAGACTCATTGAAATGAAGAATGAAGTTATCTTGTTCTTGGAGCAACATCCCCCATCAGCAAAGGATGCAATATTTAGATTTAGAGACAAGTTTCATAATTTGCATTGGTTAATTAAGGTGGCTATTTATGTGACATTTTTGGCTTCTTAAATGCATTAAATCTTAACTTACAAGGTGCAATGTACATATTTTTAAAGTCCAGGAAAAGATAGAAGCAGCAAAAAAAAAAAAATTAACTTGTGAGTACATCGAGTTGAGAAGAGAAATTATAAGTCTTTCTCTACTTTAATAGAATTACAAAACCAAGATGAAGAATGTAATATTCCAGATGAGATTTCCTCATCAATCAAAGAGCATATTTTAGGGCTAAAATCATGTTTATGTTTTGATACAATACAAACCAACAATAGGTGATATAGACTATATATGTCTATGTTTTGATGTAGTACAAACCAAACTGACATTATGGATAATGTGAAATGTTGGTAACTCTGACATTATGAATAACGTGAAATGTTGGTATCTCTAACATTATGGATGACATGAAATGTTGGTAACTCTGACATTATGAATAACATGAGATGTTGGTAACTCTGACATTATGAATAACATGAGATGTTGGTATCTCTGACATTATGGATAACATTAAATGTTGGTATCTCTGACATTATGGATGACATGAGATGGTATCTCTGACATTATGGATAACATTAAATGTTCATAACTCTGACATTATGGACAACATGAAATGTTGGTATCTCTGACATTATGGATGACATGAAATGTTGGTATCTCTGACATTATGAATAACGTGAAATGTTGGTATCTCTAACATTATGGATGACATGAAATGTTGGTATCTCTGACATTATGGATAACATGAAATGTTGGTATCTCTGACATTATGGATAACATGAAATGTTAGTATCTGACATTATGGATAACATGAAATGTTGGTATCTCTGACATTATGGATAACATTAAATTCATACTGCCTTTTAAAGGCATTTTGTACTAGGTTGAGGCATGCACGTTTTGACCCCCCCTCCTCCTTTTTGTCTGCCATATATCACCGCCCAGTTCTTTCTTTCAATACTAAGAACTCTGATTCTGAATACATAATGGACTAATTAAGAGGAATGTCAGAAGAAAAAAAACATATCCAGTCAATTGTGATCTTAGTCACATTTGTTAGGCCTAGAAACATACTTGTGTCACATAAATTCATACGTTTTAAACGGATGTTAACCAAAACATTTGTATACAACTTTTGACTTTTTATTCCCATACAAGCTAAATATTTTGTGTGTTTTATGGAATTGTAAACAATTCTTATGCATCATAAATGGGTCTCGCTTCTGTTTGCACTTAGAAATTGATTCAGTTATCTTTCTGAGCTAAGTGTAAGTAACTAGCTTCACGAAACTTGGTGTTCATAAATAGTAAATAATACCCATTAATGAATTATCCTTGAGCAGATTTACAGATTTCTGCTAATAGTTTTCAAGTAAGTACAAGTGAGACGTGTACACTTAACTGGAAATTTTTTTTACAACCAGTAGAGCCTCTCTCTCAGACTAAGACTACAACTAAATAAAGGGTAAAAATAGTATAAATGAAACAATGTTTGAACATTTTTTTACAAGATGGAACACACTATCTATTTTTCTCAGAAACTTGTTATTTGTGTTATTAATGGCCAGAAGGTTATGGCATGGTTTAGTGGTTAAGGTGCTCGACTCGCAATCTGAGGGTCGCGAGTTTGAATCCCCCTCCCGGGTGTAAAACTGCTGGGCTTACAAAGTTACCAGATAACCCATTATTTGATAGAACTAAGGTCATAATAAGAATAAAAATGGCCAGAAATAGAAGTGTATTCTTTATTCACATAACAGACACTTTTTTCACTTTTAATAGGACCTACTATATCCCAGACAGAACTGCAGGAAAGGTTAGCAAAATTGAAGGGAATGGACCCTAAAAGATACTCGGCTCCACCTATTACAGTAAGGTTTTTCTTGTCACGTATTATATTTTATGATGGTTGAAATTATATGCAAGATAATAGTGATTAGAAAATGTTTTGGTAGATGTGAGTCATGACAAACTGCAATGAATGTAAATATTATCCTATTTGTAACTTAAAGGTTTTCAGTTCTATAATTGACTGACTTTCTCTGCTATTGAGACTTAAGTGGTTAACTTTTGTAAGTAAGCTTGTTTCTAGTTTTATTTTCAACAAAAACTGAATAAGATTTGATTTCCTTTTTAAGTCCAAAACCTACACTATGTAAAGGGTGTTTTTAATCTCATTTCACTTGTGGCTACTGGTTTTGGTGCATCATTACCTCTATAAAGTTTCAGTTTTGTTTTCATTCAGTAAAATATTTGAACAAACAGTATACTGAATTTTATATTTATTTTAGGTATTCCGAGAGGCTGAGCATCACACGGAGTCAGAGATGATCGATAATCTGATGAAAGAGGTTCAGGAAGAAGTGGAAATTGACTCTCGAAGACCTAAGCCTGAAGATGAAATAGCAGCTCGATTAGCAAGATTACGTGGAGACGACGAACTACAACCTTCAGGATCTGCAGCACCTGTAATTAATTTTTTGGGGGGGGGGTATTGTAATACACAGACAGACATAATCTTCCACTTTAATAACAGCAGGCAGACATAATTTGCTATCATAATGACGGCAGGCCACTTTTCCAGTCTAGGTTTTACAGATATAATTGTAACTGTTGTACTTACAAATTGTTCTCAGAAGTTTAGAAGTAAATATTGATTTTGAGGATTTCTGTACAGTGCTTTATCAATTTTTTGTTGGATTACCAGCGTGATAAATTTTCAGAAATATTATTTACTAACACAGGTTTTGCAAATATACTCATTAATGGTGAAAGTTGTTTTTACAGATCAGAATTAAACATTCTAGCTTCAGGGATTCTGAGTAGTTTACAGATACAAATAGAAAGAGTAAACACACCTTGCCATTCTTATGCAAATAATGTAATACTTAAAGAAACCAAAACCCAAAAATGGAAAATGGTGTAGTCAATGAATATTTTTTATTGCATAGGACTTAATTCTAGCAGAAAGACGAGTGAACTCAAAACACCATCAAGAAGATGTTGACTTAGATGAGGTAAATAAAGTGTTGAAAACAGAATCTGAACAACTGGAAGCTGCTGCCAAAAAAGAACTTATAGATCTAGGTCAAAACAAGGCTGTTCAAGAGGCACTTGCGGAACTTAAGAAAAAGAAACAATCAGAAGGTACTATAAGCCGTCAGTCCCGTGTCTTAATTTTCATTTATTAGGATATTAAAGTTGTGTATTACCATCCAGAACTGGTAATTATTTTTTTCTGACAATTTGTATTTCATATTATAGAATATAAGCCTGATTTTAGTAATCAGTATTTTGGTACTTGTGACTCATTGTTGGATAGCATAATTCATGCTTTTTTCTTCTCTTTGCTATACCTCCATTTGTCAGTGTCCAAATATTTTGCTCAGTTTTACTGTGTGTGTATTTTCTAGCCTAAGCGTGTCAATAATATTCTCTTTGCTATACCTCCATTTGTCAGTGTCCAAATATTTTGCTCAGTTTTACTGTGTGTGTATTTCTAGCCTAAGCGTGTCAATAATATATTATCACCCCGAAATGCTAAAAACCAGGTTTCTATACCCTTAGTGGGCACTGCAAAAATAGTCAGTTGTGTAACTTAGTGCTTAACTACAAATAAACAATGATATATTTCATCTATAAGAGAAACAAATTAATAATAATAATTTTGTTTAGTGTTTCAGGCTGGTAATTCTCTATTCAGCTATCTAAATATACAAATTTTTCATTTATTCTTCAGTTTCTCTCTTTCTATATATATATATTATTATTATTATTAAACTGTGTGCATTATACTTTCAATACACTTATTTGTGTAGGTGGAAAATCTCCACTTGAGTCAGAAGAGGAAGAAAATAATGAGTGTAATGCTGTCATTGAAAAGGTATTAAACTATAGTTATGAGTTACATGCTACGTACTATATATTTCATGAGTTTTTGTAACTATAGTTAAGAGTTACGTGCTGCATACTCTATATATTTCATAAATTTTTGGAACTATAGTTATGAGTTACATGCTACGTACTATATATTTCATGAGTTTTTGTAACTATAGTTAAGAGTTACATGTTGCATACTCTATATATTTCATGAATTTTTGTAACTATAGTTAAGAATTACGTGCTGCATACTCTATATATTTCATGAATTTTTGTAACTATAGTTAAGAGTTACGTGCTGCATACTCTATATATTTCATGAATTTTTGTAACTTTTTGAAAGTTCACTGAGTAGGAAAGGAATTTTGTGAATGACTAATCATTAAGTATTTTGTACAAAATATTACAGTATTAAGTGGTTGTTACATCACATTTATAGATATGTATCAAAGTTGTATGTACTATCCATTTGTAAGGCTGATTTATCTTAACATTTTTTAAAAGAGTTTTTACAACTGAAGGAATAATGTTATTTGTTGCAGTTACTTGATGAGGCAACAATTGAAGAGAAGTTTAAACAACCTCAACCACTGGATGATCAGAATAAAACAACAAAAAAGTCTTTAGGTTCCGACATGTCCATCTGTGAACATGAAGAGGTTGGATGCTATACATTTAAAATTAAACAATCCTTAAAATACAATAAAAAATCTTCATCTTAGAATTATATATCAATATAATTTTTTCTGGTGTTTTTTTTTCTGAATTCCAGGAATAGAAAAAGTATTAAATGCCAGTTATTTTTATAATTTAAGATTATTCTTCTGAGTTTTCCATTTGTTTTTGGAGGCTCTACAAAAACTTACAAAAAGGAAAGATTTTGTTGCTTCTGTTGGAGAGGTCCACTGTTTGATTTATGCTGTAAATAATGTGGCTTCTGTTGGAGAGGTCTACTGTTTGATTTATGCTGTAATTTATGTACAAGTTTCTTGCTTCTGTTGGAGAGGTCCACTGTTTGATTTATGCTGTAATTTATGTTGCTTCTGTTGGAGAGGTCTACTGTTTGATTTATGCTGTAATTTATGTACAAGTTTCTTGTTTCTGTTGGAGAGGTCCACTGTTTGATTTATGCTGTTATTTATGTACAAGTTTCTTGCTTCTGCTGGAGAGGTCCACTGTTTGATTTATGCTGTAATTTATGTAAAAGTTTCTTGTTTCTTTAATAAATAAACTGGAACCAAATAAGGTAAATAAATAAATAAGCCATTGGCACTTAAATGAAATGTCTGTTCTGGAGTTTGAGTTTCTAATTGTTGTCCAGTAAAATGTGGGGAAAATAAAATGATAAAAATGACGTTTTGGTATTATATTCTTATCTCAATTTTACATTTCTGATATTTATTTTTTGTGCTTGTGGAAGCTTTTAACAAATTGTATAACAAAGTTAGAATTAAATGGTTTATTTGATTCTGATATTTAAATGAATTTTTCTTTTATTGTTTTAAAGAAATTTGTATCATTACATAAATTTCTCCAGTAAAAATGTCAGTGTAGAGTTTATGTGTTAATGCAAAAACAGTGAAATACAAGAAAACACTAAATACTTTGTGTATGAAAATTGTTAAAAATGTGTTTTATAATTTTGACAGATGGACGAGCTTCCCTGGTGTGTAATATGTAATGAAGATGCTCTTGTACGATGTCTAGATTGTGAAGGAGATCTTTATTGTATGAGATGTTTCAAGTAAGTGGTTGGTATAATACCTAACTTATGAAGGAGATCTTTATTGTATGAGATGTTTCAAGTTTGTAGTTAGTATAATACCTGGATTGTGAAGGAGATCTTTATTGTATGAGATTTTTCAAGTAAGTGGTTGGTATAACTCGTAGATTATGAAGGAGATGTTTCAAGTAAGTGGTTGGTATAACACCTAACTTATGAAGGAGATCTTTATTGTATGAGATGTTTCAAGTTTGTAGATAGTATAATACCTGGATTATGAAGGAGATCTTTATTGTATGAGATGTTTCAAGTTTGTAGTTAGTATAATACCTAGATTGTGAAGGAGATCTTTATTATATGACATGTTTCAAGCAGTTGTTATAACATTTATACCACGAAGGAGATCTGTATTGTACAAGATGTTTCAAGTGGTTGGTATAACACCTAGATTATCAAGGAGATCTGTATTGTATGAGATGTTTCAAGTGGTTGGTATAACACTTAGATTGTGAAGGAGATCTTTATTGTATGAGATGTTTCAAGTGGTTGGTATAACACCTAGATTATGCAGGAGATCTGTATTGTATGAGATGTTTCAATTGGTTGGTATAACACCTAGATTATGAAGGAGATTTGTATTGTATGACATGTTTCAAGTGGTTAGTATAACACCTAGATTATGAAGGAGATTTGTATTGTATGACATGTTTCAAGTGGTTGGTATTATAATCTAGATTGTGAAGGAGATCTTTATTGTATGAGATGTTTCAAGTGGTTGGTATAACACCTAGATTATGAAGGAGATTTGTATTGTATGACATGTTGCAAGTGGTTGGTATAACACCTAGATTACGCAGGAGATCTGTATTGTATGAGATGTTTCAAGTGGTTGGTATAACACTTAGATTATGAAGGAGATTTGTATTGTATGACATGTTTCAAGTGGTTTGTATAACACCTAGATTATGAAGGAGATCTGTATTGTATGAGATGTTTCAAGTGGTTGGTATAACACTTAGATTATGAAGGAGATTTGTATTGTATGACATGTTTCAAGTGGTTGGTATAACACCTAGATTATGAAGGAGATCTGTATTGTATGA